AGACATACAATAAAGTAACACCTAGACACTATTGCTGAAGTAGCATTATTTAATCTGACATGTACTCTGTGTTACCTGAAGATAAGAATATGGGCTTTCTGTATGGAAGGTTTTGACTTAATTTAAGTTAAAATAACAGTTTTCTATCAAATCTGAATTAGGACTCAAGAAAAACAGATAACTTCAGCTATAAAAATTTAAGTATTTTTTTAAATTTTGTTTAAAAAAAAACATTTAGCAGATGAAAAATGGGATTCCTATCTCAATCCAACTGAAGCTATCACCTCATTGTTTTTAAATAATTAGCCAAATAGAATTTGTAAAGATAAAAAAAGAATAGATCCAAAGGAGCTATCAGAAACCATGTCTGTTCCAGTGTATATCATCATTAGAATTTCTTTGAGTATTATGTCTTCTGTACAGGGGCCATAACAGGGGCCAGGACATGATCTACAGGGGAACTGGCCCCCATTGGCCACTGTCTAGAACCGCCCATGGGTGTTATGATAAAGTAATTTGGAAATGGAGGATTTTTGTTGTTGGTTTGTTTTGCTTTTTACCAAATACTATTTCACTCTTAGGATAAGAAACTTTACTGATGATTTCAAAACTAAGAAAGATGCTCAAGGAATTACACAAAATATAGGCATGTAAAATGACAAAGTAAAAATTAAACAGAGATCGTAAAGCATGTGTAAAATGTACAACAGAGAAGTTGTGAAGCAGTTGTAGGTAGAAACCTATAATGTTTATTGTATCAAATGAATGATTGATATTGTCTTCCATGTAGAAAACAGGAGGAGTTCAATCATTTGAAAGGCCACTTTGAGGAAGGAGTTTCTGTGGCATTTTGTATGGCACCTCGGTGGTTTCAGTCAATGACTGAATGTCCTGCAGTAGGAGCCAACTGGGCCATGCAGGGGGTCTGACTCATTTTCAGGATCTGGAGTTGTTTCGTCAGCATTTTCTGCTCAGACATCTCTGCTGAAGATTGAAGTTCCCCAGACTGAGTCAGCTCTCTCGTTGAGCTTACTGAGTCTGTTGGCAACAGCTCGCTTCACCCTGGGGCCCCAGGACAGTAGAAGATGAGAATGGAGACTTCTAAGTAAACATCTGCAGCATGGTCCCACCATTTACTAAAACAATTTCATGTATGGCAACTCTATCTTTTATTTTAATAAAACAATGTTGAAGAAGTACCACTCTTACAATATTTGGGCACTCTACTCCCCTGCCTATACCCACTTGTCTACAATTTGCTACAACACAGCTGTTGTCTGTAGTTTCTTGGTAGGAGACAGGGTACATCCTGGACAGATTGCCTGTCATCACAGCTCATATGACATGATGGAAAACCAAAAACAATCAGTTGAGATATCACAAAGGGAGCGGTGTCTGTGAAAAGGCTGCCTAAAGCTGCTTAGACAGCGCCACTGTTCACAGTGAAAACACTTTGCTACCAAAGAGGGTTCAAAATTGACTAAAGAAGCAAAAGAAAATAACAATTTGAAATGCAGAAAAAGACTTTACATTTCATAGAAATTACATTTGGTCTGATTAAAAACTGCCCGAAAGCTGTTGGTCTTAGTGGCTGCTGGTACTTTTGGAGGAAAAAGGTAGAAAAGGAGGAAGCGGGCCTTAAAACATTAGGAAAATACAAATTTTTTGGTCCTGCTGACCGACACAAGGTTACCTCAAACAATATTACCTCAACTGTTTTACACCATGGAAGTATATCTGGTTTCAATATTTCAACATTTCTTCATTAAAGTAACCATGGGAGACATTCAGTTGTAATGTATATAAAATGTAGCTTTTCAGTAAAATGATATCTGTATTAGATGATAAAATACACCTTACATGAAAACAAGTAATGTGCCTTGAATGATGATTAATTGTTCACAAAGTTTTACTTTTTTTTATCTTGCTCTTTTTATTTTCTGTAAAAAGTAAGGATCATTTACAGGTGGCTATAGTCCAGAGGGTTCATTGTAGCATTCTGAACGATGATGTCCGTATATCAGTGATAGACTTAACTTCCTCAGTTGATGGCGGAAGTCCATGTTGTCCGTTTCAGATCTTGTCACTGTGGGTATAAACATGAATTGTTCTACACATTTAAAATGCCTTTTAGAATAGGAATTGCATAACTAAGGCTCTGCTAGAGTTAATTAGAACTGCCACATTCTTGGTAGTTAGCTGTCCTGTACGCAGTAAAATCTCCTTATAAAATCTCTCAAAGCTGACAGTCCTCTACAGAGACATCTGAGAAGTCCTTAGTTTAGCAAGATAAGTCTAGGGAGAGTATACACCCATGAGGGCACCTGTTCAGATTGTCCTGAAGCTCAATATCCCAAGCCTCTGCAGCCAGTCTTAGTCTTTTAGTGAGTTCCACCGAATCCTCAAATCAATTAAAGAAATCTTTAGCAATTCAACAAGAATCCTAGCTAAATTAGCAGCTCTGTTGGATAATGTCTCCCACCCCATGCATGAAGCTGTTGCAGAACTGGACAGCTCCTTCAGTAACAGACTGCTGCACCCTAAATGCACCAGGGAGCGTTATCACAGATCCTTCCTCTGAGCAGGTTTAACACTCTATAACCATCACTGTTTCCAACAACCTCAATAAGTTCTTACATTCATGCTGACTTTGCACAGTTTCTACCTTAGTCAGTTAAATAATATGCGGCTGTCATTTTGCACATCTCTGATGTTGCTGCTATTTTCAAATATCCGTTACTGTAAAAATGTCCATAGCTGCATATTGGTTATTTATTCTCCAGGTGCACAGTTTTTATATTGTTAAAACACTTTACAGTACAATATTTTATCTTTTAACTCTTCACTATTATGTTATTCTTATACATTTTTAAGGTCCATATTTGTGTGACCATTTTTTCCTATGATATTTTTG